CTTTCAGTTGGCTACATACCGTCGAGGGAAACAACAAGCCAGTGACAAGCTCCGAGATTGCAATCCCAACGACATTGACTGGACAGGGTTGGCAGATTCAATCCATTTTGAAGTTGATGTTCATACACATTTCCAGACCCTCCATGATCAAGTTGTTCAGCACTTGCGACCCCAATGCCGCAAACGAGCTCGGAAGCCATTGAAGCAGACTCTCTCTGAAGAGACTTGGGCGCTGGTCTGTGAGAAGGCTAAATGGCGCAAGCAGCTGAAGGAGTACAATTTCCTCCAACGACAAGCAGCTTTGGAGCAAGTCTTTCAAGCATGGAAGATGGGACAAGCCACCCTACCAGATGAATATGGACGGCTGCGTCAGCAGCAAGATGTTTTAGTGGCTGGAGCCTTGTGGGAGTTCCGGCGACTTGGCCGGAAGGTCACTCAAGCTATGAGACGAGATGACAAAGGCTTCTTCACCAGCTTGCTGACAGATGGAGCTGAATTTTTGCATCCGAAGGATGTGAAGCAACTCTGGGCGGTTATACGACGCTCCATCCCCAAATTCCAGAACAGGAAGATTGGATACAGCCCATATCGCCTGGCCAGCTTGGAAGCCACGAGTGAGCGGCATTTTCAAAACCTTGAACTTGGCGAACCGAGAGAGAAGGAAGACCTCATGCAAAGATGTCTCCAAGGTCAGTCTGCTGCTGCTGCACATGATCTACCAGATCGAATTGACCTTGGTAATCTTCCAACGCTGATTGAGGTAGAGAACTCCCTGAGGGCTACGCAAGCAGATCGAGCCACCGGCTTTGACCAAGTCCCATCGGCAGTGTATCACCAGCATGCAGCATTTTTGGGGCGTTACTTTTATCAAGTCGTTCTCAAGATGTTCCTATGGGGCGCTGAACCGTTGCAAGGGAAAGGTGGCTACTTGAAGATGATTCCAAAGAAGCCAGGTGCGATCGAAGCTCACCATTTTCGGGGCATCCTTTTGCTCCCGACCTTTGCAAAAAGGATCCATGCCATCGCTCGGGCCCGGCTCATGGACCAAACTCATCGTCAACGTGATCCGGCCCAACTTGGTGGATATGCTGGGCAACAGGTGGCATTCGGAGCACAAACACTGCGAGTGTTAACCAATGTCTTTTCAGCCAAAGGCCTGAGCTCTGCCGTGATCTACATTGACCTTGCTACCGCCTTCCATCATCTGATACGACAGTATGTCACTGGTGTCAACAATGTTGACGATGTCACCTACGTCCTGGATAAGTTGCATGAGGCAAAGACACCAGCTGCAGCTCTTCATGCTGGACGTGGCTTGACTGGCATTCTTCAAGCAAAGGGAGTTGACCCAGTGCTCATCAGACTACTTCGAGACATCCACGAAAGTACATGGTATACCCTCCGTGGGAATGACTTGGTGCAGACCTTTCGAGGCACAAGACCAGGCTCGCCCTTGGCGGATATCATTTTCCACATCCTCATGGGCGAGATTGCCAACGAATTGAGATGTTGGATACGTGAACAAGCAGACTACATGGCCATCCTGAAAGACCTCGAGCTTGAGCCGGTCTTTGTGGTTTGGTCGGATGATTATGCAATCCCTTGGGCGACCACTTCAGCACATGACCTTGTGCCGGCGGTGACACGCCTTATGAGGCAAGTTCACAGGCAATTTGCGCGGAGGGGATTCACCATCAACTACGACCAGGGCAAGACCAGTGCGGTTTTGACCTTTGTGGGATCAGGAGCGCCGGAACTGAGGAAAATACATCTTCTTCCAGATCGACCTGGCGTCTTGATTGACTTTGAGGAGGAAGGGTACACGAGATGGCTCCACTTCACGGCCAAGTACAAACACTTGGGGGCCTTCTTCTCTGCCAGCCACTCCTTCGAGCCAGAGATGCGGCAACGAATCGGTATGGCGAGGGCAGCATTCCAGAAGACATTGAGGGCGGTGTTGGGCAACCGGCATTACCCTCTCAAACTTCGAATGCAGTTCTTCCAGTCCCTTGTTTGTTCCCGCTTTTTCTTTGGGATGGGAGCTTGGGCTACTCCAACGCTGCAGCAACTAGCGAGACTGCGCATTGAGTTTCACAAGATGCTCCGCACCATCTTGCGCTGTGAAGCAGGGGAACAGCTTAGCAATGCACAGCTGCTGGTTCAAACAGATGCGCTGGATGTGCGGGTTCGTATTGCTACTGACCGCCTTCTTTATGCACGGAGGTTGTTTCAAATTGGGCCCTCATTTCTGCAGCAATTGCTCCACCTGGAACACGCTTTGTGTCCGACTTCATGGATTGCGAGCCTACAGGCGGACCTTCAATGGCTACAACGACTTGTTCCTGATGCACTTGATCCCATTGTGGATGGAGACTTGACGCAGATTGTGGAGATGTGGCAGACTGATGCGCTCCCTTGGAAGCGTATCCTGCGACGAGCCCTACGTAAACATCGGGTGCAGGAGCAGATGATGTATGATGTTCATGCATTCCATGAGGATATCCTTTCCACTTTGAAGCAGGCAGGGGCCACCTTCGAGCCTGACCTTGATGTTTTGCTGAACCGGCCGAGAGAGGCGTTGCACAAATGCAGCTGTGGCAGAGCGTTCACTACCAGTCAAGGGCTGGCCCTCCACAAGAGACGTGCCCACCAAGTTCATGCACCTGAGTATGCATTTACTGCAGGTGCAACGTGTCCTGTGTGTATGAAATTCTGTTGGACAAGCAACAGATTAGCCATGCACCTGGCGTATATCCCCAGGAGGGGTGGCGCCAACCCATGCTTTGCAGCCCTTACCAAGCATGGCTACACTGCAGAACATTGCCGGCAAGAAGCGCCTGGGGAATGCCGACAGGCTGTGCGCATGGATGCGATGCAAGCAGAAGGCCCTCTCATGCAGTTTGGGAATCAATGGACCCAGCGTATGAACGATGTGGCTGAGGAGATTGCTGCGTTGGAAATGCGACTCCAGATCCCAGATGTTCCCTTTGACCACATTGAGTATGGCATGCGGCTTGGGGATGCTCTGACCGTGACAACCCGGAAGTGGTCGGCAGCGTTCTGCAGCCGTGGGTCAGGAGAAATCCCTGATGTGATTGACTGTTGGATTCGACTCCTGTCAGTCTTTGGCAATGAATTTGATGACTGGGCGGCGCACATCTTCATCCAATGGGGCCAGGACATCCTCCCGGACATTATCGCGGAGCAGATGGACGGCTATGTCGAGGAGATCTTGGACCAGAAGTTTGCAGAATGCGCGGAGCTTTTTCCGCGAACAGAACTGGCTTCTCGATTGGCCCAGCTACACCAACGCTACAAAGGTCTCCAGGAAGCTGCAGAGGCGCCTAGCGTCCCACATCGACCAGTGCGGCGAGGGACAGCTAACCCAAGGGAGCGCCAGGCTACCCAGCAGAAGGTGCCTAGTGCCTTCTATGACCAGGTGGAATGGCAAGCAGCATGGCGTCAGCTGAAGTGGTTCGACTTCATGAAGAAGCGTGAGATTCCCATGTTGCCCGGTGACAGCGGCTGCCCCACCTTCCTTGTGGTCCACCTCTTTTCGGGGAGGAGGCGCAAAGGCGATTTTCATTGTCATATGCAACGACAGGCAGCTTTGTTAGGGGTGAAGTTTGTCATCTTGTCGATGGACACTGCCGTGTCACCCACATGGGGTGACTTGTGGCACACCTCTGAGTCTTGGGCGATGTTGGAGCGCTTGTACGCCTGGGGCATGGTAGCTATGACTATGGTTGGCAGCCCTTGTGAGACATTCACAGAAGCTCGATATACGCAACCCCCTGAAGGAGAACAAGGGAAATGGCCAAGGCCGCTCAGATCGCGTGACTGGATCTTTGGCCTGCCGGATTTGACTGTCCGCGAACTCCGCCAAGCACATGCCGGCTCCAACTTCTTCCTCCAGGGTCTTAAGGCACTTTGTGGACATCTTGTACATGGAGGGCTTTATCTATCGGAACATCCGGCCATGCCAGCTGATCTGGCGCGGCCTTCTATTTGGCGGGCATCAGCTACGGAGTTGCTGCGCCAACATGGAGATGTTCGGTATTCCCAGGTGAGTCAATGGCGGTGGGGAGCAGAGGCTGTTAAGCCCACTGGGCTTTTATCACATTGTCTCCCTAAGCTCATGCGGTCCATGCATGCGGAGGTGGATGCGGAAGCCGTGAAGCCGACCACCCCCGCGATCGGCAAAGACGACTTGGGAGCATTCCGGACGGCGAAACTAAAAGAATACCCCAACAGATTTTGCTCTGCTTTAGCACGTGCTTTTGGCGACCAACTACGTGAAGAAGTCCGAAAGGGGCAGACCAGACAGGCTGAGGCATGGGCAAATTTTCCCGGAGGGAGTGCAGTACAGAAGTGGTTACAAGGGGCCTCTGAAGCTGGAAGGTCAATTTCGACCGAAGCCAGATGGTTACCTGACTTTCAACCCAGGCACTCCTAGGGGCTTTTTGATTTTCGGACATCACACGCTTCATCCGGCGTGTTAATTGGGTGCTTAGCAGCAAGGTTTACCGACCTTTTGTGCTTGCAAATTGGCAAAAAAAATTGTTTTGATTCACATCAGACTACCAGACTGCTTCAAAAAGAAAGATTTGCAAACATGACAGCAACAGTACTGTATGGTGGTAAAACCCCTGGCGAAGGAGTTCTATGTGCTTTCATTGCTAAGCAGTTCTGAAAGATTATTGAACCTCGATCAACTCTTTCCATTGGCTTCAAGCTGACCTTTGTGGGAGGTTACGTCCTTGTGTGTTTGCTTGCGGCTTGCAGTAGTTGAAAGATGGGGGTTTTACATCCAAGATATGGCAATTTAGGTCAGAAAGCTGATGGTACAGTTTTTATCATTGGATTTCAGGTTGACAGATCCACAGTATGCCAATGGGCAAGACTGGTCTCATGGTGGAGTATGGTATGCTCGGAAAGTCCACATTTTCTGCCCTCCTGATTCCGTTCAAGACGGCCCCCCTTGCCAAGCACTTCGCGAGGACCAGTGGGAATCAATTTGCAAGCATCAATCGGCCAACTGCCGGCGCTCGGTATGAGGCGTGGCGAGGATTCACTGTGATTCACTGATGCAATTCAATTTGCTTTCAGACTTGCAGCTTTGTTTGTCTTGTAGTGGGTTTATATACAATCATATCAATCATACACACCTGAGTGTAACCTTACATTATGTATACATTATATATATATATATGCTCACCATTTGCTATCTGCTATCTTCATATATATATACATCATATATGTATATATATATATACACGTATCAACAAAATTTCCAGGTGTACATTTTATAAATCAACAAATTATGTCAACTAAATCAATGATGTAAGGCCTTGACGTTGTGTAGTTGTGATGCACAGGGTTGGTGCGCTAAGCCTACTCTCGATCATCTCCCTGCATCGGACGAGAGTGCGATGCTTGTTGAAGGGTCCTTGCAACGCCCATGAACAAAACATAAATCTTAATAAATAATAGTATTATAATAGTCAAAGATATCAAAAAATATCAATTCGGATAAAAAGACTAGTTCTTGGTGCTACCATATCTGTATGGTATTGTACATTTATAGTATATATATATATGTGTATTTATAGTATAAATGTGTGTGTTTTTGTGGTAAACATCGAGGATTGAATGTTGCATACTCATGGAGGATCTGGAGCAACGTCAGGCCAAGCTGGAAGGGGGCACAGAGCCCTTGCAGTCTGACTCCCAGTGACTGGGAAAAAAATCGGCAGTTGATCCATGTTGATCCTGCACCTGGCAGGTGTATCGGTGTATCCAGCATCATCCTGGGTACCCTCTGGTTATGTCAAAATAGCTATTGAAAATGACCATTTATAGTGGATTTTCCCATTAAAAATGGTGATTTTCCATAGCTATGTTAGTTTACCAGAGGGTAAATCTTGGTAATCACATTTTATCAGCTTTGTTGACTGTGAATCAACATGTTTCCTCCACTTTTGATGGCAGTTACCCGATGGGGGTCATGAAACTGTTTGCTTCAGAGGTATATTCATTCTTGGTGTCGTTTTGCTCTTGAAGAACTCCCCTCAAAATAAGAAACTTGATTTGAAGATTGTTTGTTTCGTTGATCGTTAATGTGCTTCAGCATCTTCATTGCAAGTGAGGCTCCGAATTAATTCGCCACATGAGCACTCGATCACAATCCAGAACTTCTCTGGATTGTGTAACTTCTGGGTTGTGCTGGCGAAGATGTTTAAATGCTTAAACCAACTTCTAACTGGGGGCCCCTTAGTGATTTGATTCATTGGCAATCCAGTGATTGAAGTAATTTACCTCGACAAGAGAGGATACACTGGATACACCCAGTTGACATCGAGTGTTTCCTTATATATATATAGATATATATAAGTCGTTTTCAGCCTTGGTCCTCACTGGTTTTCAACTCTTCATGTTTCCTCCAACTGTTCTTTGTTCTTTCATTCAGTTTTAAACACGGAAAGCAACACATGTTCCCAAGACCTTTTACATCCTTTTACCTATACTATATATAATCTATTATAATCTATTATAAATCATCATATTTATATATATATATAGTACAGTATAGGTTTGGTGTGTTGTTTTTAACAGCAAAACAGAGAGACACCGAAGCCGATTTCTCCAGCGTTCCTCCCATGGTGGAACGCGCCCTGGTCCTAGCGAGAGAATCTGAGCTGAGATTTTTGTTGGGTCGAAACTTGGGACTTTCATGGGAAAGTGATCGTGATCCATGGGGAAAATCATGGAAAAATATTGGACAATTGGATATCATCCAGGATATTATCCATTTAAAATATTGGAAAATTAGATATCCATTTAATGAAAGATCATCCATAAATTGCTTCCAACCAGGATTGAGAAGTTTAATGGGAAAGATCATCAATAAATGGAGGTGTTGGGAGTACTGAAAACTATCGAGTGGTAGGGAGCGGAGGGGAACGAGGCTCGTTGCTGCAAATCGAGTTTCCCAACCACATGATAGATTTTCATATGTTTTCCATGTGAATGGGGATGAACATCATAAGCAGCTATAGTTGCAAGATGTTGCAAGCTATTTCGGTGATGGAACCACTTCCCATCTCCAGATCGCTTTGGATTTCTCGCAAAGTTGGCATTATGTTGTTGATACTGCGCGAGACCAAAACCAGAGATAAGAGTAGCCCTCTAAAGTGTTCTGTACTTGCAGGTGGAGTTGGGGAAATTACTGGATTTATACCACCATAGCTATTGGGGTTATACGCTTATAATAAGCTATAGCTATATCAATATCTCAACTTTTGGAGGTTATATAAGCCAGTATACCCCCCAACTGTTCGGATGTGGATGTTCGAAAGCCGGATGTGATCCGGTTGGATATTGATGGATATTTTGCATATAGAAATAAATACCACGCTTTTACGAATCAATGATTCATACAATTCGTACCAATGTTGTTTTGTGAAACTCACTACAAGTATCTATAAGTCACGTGTTTTC